CACACACACACATTTATAACAGTAATAGTTCAGTGTAATGTAGGTAGCAATTACTCATTGGCGAAGATGGCTCATTCTATTTCGATAGACCGTGCAATGTAGACCTACACTTAGTGTAGAATTCTGTGTTATGGGATTACTTTTTGAGTTCTTATGACCCCATTTGGTAAGTACATTGCTTGACGAGTTCTCTTTCATTTTTCACTACCATCACTACTAAAAAATCAGCTAGTCTAGATCTATCTTTTTAATTGCGGTTACGTCACACACATCTTCAACATTTCTCATCTCTTCCATGCTTAGTTGGGTAAAACTACTATTCGTAATCAACCTAAAACCTTCGAAACAAAAAAAAGTAGAGAAGCATATTTTCATATATATAGCTATATGGGATGTAGTTCCCAAAGTCGACGGGTGCAATGTATTTCGCACACACGAGTAAGGTGGGAAACGCGAAAATCAATTCTCACCTCCGTGCTCAACTGGCAGCGTGCATTGCCCGGACTCTGACCCCGGGGTTACGCTGACCTTACGGCGCGTGCGCTCATGTGATGCAGTAGTCACAGTGTGTGCGTGCGTGTGTGTGTGTGTGTGTGTGTGTGGGGGGGTGAAATTACCATGCCACTTCAAATTTCTCTTTGCAGGGATTACAATTTTTTTTTCTAGTATATTGCACAGAAATTTCGAGAACCTGTGACGCCAAAGTGGCCCCTTCCACTGTAAGGATGGCTCGGGTCACGACCCTCCTTTTGCTCCTGTGGCTGATTGCGGGCTCAGAGAAGGCACACGTCTCTGGTATGTATTGTGATGTCTGTAGGAGCCTATTGATTGTGACTGTTTTTCAACCATATGGGCACTATTCAGATCAGGGGTCTCAGATTCGCGATTCATGCCCACAAGATGATATTTTGTGGCCATTCACTTGACATTTAAGTTGTAATTGAGCCAAGTTGGGTCAAGTTTTTGAGGAAGAATTGTCCCCCACTTTCCCTGAGCTTTCCATGATGTTCCAGCGGATCATGTGCCTTTTGGTGAAATGTTCTTTTCGCCCATATTATAACTTTAATAAGTCAAAGTACAGATCTAAACTTTCTGATGAGCATCTTCAAGCTATACCGAGGTTCTCATTTGCTTCCCCCTTCACGCCAAATAGGCTGCTGACTGCTGAGCTGTGTAAATTGAAAGGTTGCCAGGTCTCTGAGGGCAAGGAGTAGGTGAGATAAACCGATGACTCTAAAGAACCGTTTATGTTCTGAACCGATAGCTTGAGAAGATTAAATCAGTAGTTCCTTTAAAAAAATACTTGATCCCTTTTCTTGTTGAACACTTTAAGGGGTCTAGCCTCATCCAAACTAACTCCAGGTTAGGGAGGAGAGAGAGAGAGAGAGAGAGAGAGAGAGAGAGAGAGAGAGAGAGAGACAGACAGACAGACAGACAGA